ATCCTCCCCAGTCCCTTTCCCTTTGGTACCTGTTAGTCCATTCTTGGGTTCTGTGATTCCGCTGCTGTTTTGTTCCTTCAGTTTTTCCTTTGTTCTTATACTCCACAGAGGGTGCAGCACCTTTATTTTTATACTGCCTTTCTCGGACCTCAGCCAAGTGCTATACTCATCTTTCCCATCTCAGGGGGGGACAGGCCAGAGCACCTTGTTGATTTTCTTAGAAGCTGCCTGGTAAGCAGGGGTGATGTTTTCACACATCCTCAAGGTCTCCCTATTTTCAGTGTGAGGAGTCTTGGCTCGTTTTCCAGGACAAGATATGTTTTTGTGGGCAGATAACTTCCAAGGACTGCACCAGTTGTTCTCAAGCTTGTGCTTTCCCATGCTGCATTCAGACCTGGGGGAAGGTGCTTTCCCATTCTGCCTACGAACATGTGAGAAGACAAAGGCCGTCCCCAACATCTCCCCCTTTTTTCTTTAATAAAACAACCAGCCCAACTCTGACTGGGTCAAGGTATGTGCCTGTCTTAGGTTGTATGGTTGAAGTAAATCCTTACCCATCATGGGGCTATAGTCCTCTGTCAACCACTCCCTGTCTTAGGTTGGTATTTACAATTCAACCGTATCTTACCTGTCATTGGCTACCATACTTGACTTTAGAACTTATGATTTACAAGTGGGGGGGGTCGTCTGCGATTTCAAATGATGCAGGTCTCTTAAGGCTTGTTGGATGAGTTTACACATGCTGCAAAGGACACAAGACCCTAGTAACAGCAATAGAATACATAAAGTGCTTAGGGTTGAGAGGTGTGACAGCTTGCCAGAGCCTATTCAGGGATTCTTTGCACATGTCTTTTATCTGATTTAATATATCAGATGCAGTTTTGGCTGCAAATGATTTAAATGGTTCTGTGGTGACCGGGGATATAACTCCCTTTTGTTTTTTCCAATTGAGCTTTAAGGGTGCCATGGGCACGTTTCACAGTGCCTTGGCCTTGTGGATTCTATGGTATCCCAGTTTTGTGTGAAATATTCATTACATGGCTGATATCGAACATGTCGAAAGACAGACATAACTTGTATATATATAGGTTTTAACAAACTACTAGTTAAATTGCATACAAACATTAACAGAATAGGAATACAGATACATAATAAAGGCAGACTTACAATTACTAGTCAAATCTAATGAAATTAAGAAAACTAGTTAGATAATTCAGGCATTTGTAAAAACTTATTGACAATATGATGGATATCATCTAATTGATTTTGGGTAGTTTGAGAAAAATCAGACAAATTGAAACAACACATTCCTGGAAACTGTTCACATCCTACATGCTCTTTTAACAGACAGTCAACAGCAGCGTGATTCTGAAGCACCGCAGCTCACAATTCTCCCAGTTCTTGGTGGGGTTCAGATAATACAGAAGCAGTCAAATTTGTTGTTTTGCTATATGCACAGGCCAGCTTAGATATCTCTTTTAGTATTCCAATGACAAGTCCAGGAACTGGCAGGAGGAATGCAGCTGCAACTGCAACAGCGGCAGGATCTCAAAGTTTCAAGTTTTCATGACAATCAGATGGCAGAGCTCAGAGAAGCCTCTTGTACTTATTATATTCAGGATGTAGAGCAGGAAGAATGCATCCCACACCACAAACACCTTGACAGTGTGGAGAGAGGGCTTGATATGTTTCATTATCCCACAAAAATACCCAACTATTTGAAAGTCTATATCTAGAAGACCATTTTACATTGATTGCACAATTACAGTAAGAGGCTACATGAGTACAATTAGTACATACACAATCAGTAATTATAGTAGTACTAACTGGTAAATTTAATTGGGCATCAGGAGCAAGCATCTTAGGGGGAAGAGTGACATTTCTGTAACATAAAACATTCAGTAATAAAGTTTAGCATTATTCCTTTTGACAGTGCTTTCCAGGTAAATATATATCAGGTAAATAAGTCAAATTAGTCAAATATTTTCCTTAATGAGGAGAAGAAATTCTACTGATATGTTCCAGGGGCCCTCTGGAAAATATCAGAGTTAATTGAGAGGTAAAAATACCTTTTTAAATTTGGTCTTGGGAAGTTGTCAAAAGTTTTTAAGGCAAAAGTTTGGGGCTATAGTAGAATTATAATTGCCCAAATAGAATTATAGTTATTAAATAACACTTATTATTTAAGCAGAATGATAATAAGAAAGTTTAAAAGCAAATGCAGGTTACATAGTTAATATTTAAAAGACTAAGCTAAGAGTTAAGATATCATTTTCTTAAATACTCAGACAATTCATTAAGACTTTAAGCTGTTTTAATAAAACAATTAGAGAACCCTTTGCAATCTTTCAATATTAAGAGCAGACTAACAGTTAAAGAAAACTTTGTCTTTCCAACTGAAAACTCCAGTTTTGCTGTGTACTCGATATCAAGACTCACTTGCTTTAATTTCACATAGCATGACTATATCAACTTTTCCACAAGCTTTCTACAACTTTCTTTTTACATTCAGTGTTCTCCCCCTTTAAATAAATAGCTGTACTTTAGAACAGTTACTTTCTTTTACCCTCAACAAAACAAATTTCCATTCTTTATACTTTCTCTTATTAAAACATACATCTTTAGCATACAGAAATATTTTCCTTATATTAAGTAGTTTTCATTAGAACTTAAAACCATTTGATACTTTAATATTCAGTGAACACTGAAAAAGAGACCACTGTAAACTGTTACACCAGCATTCTTCAGATTGATACACTTATGAACATATTTTATTTTTGGAAATGTGCCTTACAGCACAATTTCTCATTAAGTACAAAATATGTCTATATAACTTAGCAAAACTTTAAGAATTTTGGTTACCACAAAAATTCTCAGGCTGTTTGCAGATATATACACTGTTATATATTAATACAGTATTATTTAAAAGTTTATTTGCTACACTTGTTTGCTTATTTTTAGCAACCATGACAGATTACTTATAAAACTTTTACCAAACATTAGACAAAGTCAAGCTTTTCTTTAAGCATTTTCTTGAAATATTTAACAGGTAACATCAACTTAAATGACTTAAAGTAAACTTTGGCAGCTAATAACTATAAGGACATGTCCATATCGGTTAAGCTTAAATTAGCATTAATGCATAATATTTTTTATTAGATTTTCTGGAAATTTTACAATGCCCAATTTTCACAAGTGCTTGTCTTTAAATCAATTTTATTAATACCCTCCGGAGGTAGAAAATATTTTTTATTTACACACTTAAGACACAAACATACAGACTGAGACATAATGACTACAATTAGCAACACTTTTCATATAAAAACATATACACAGACAAACTGACATAAAGATTTGAGTTTTTAATATTCAATTGCCTTCTTTCTTCTAAGTTTATTTGATTAAAAGTACTTCAGTTTTCAAGAATACATTCTAAGGGCAAGCAGTTTACATAACTGGGTTAAGGTTTAGACGGCTTCAGTCCAGGGGGCTTTGCACTGCGCGTCTGCAGCATATGCTTAAGTATCTGTGCAAACAGGACTCGGCTGTTTCTGGCTCCCATGTTACTCTCAGAGGTTAAATGATTCACCGCCCATCACCTGTTTCGTGTGCACACTGTTATCCCGCGGCAGCTCTCACATTCTCCTCCATACTTCAGGTCCCTGTTTGGGCGCCACTTGACAGTGCCTGCAGTCAAAATCGAACAGTCTGAAGGGGAGGCATGGAGCTGAATAAACATACAACTCACTCTGAGAGGACGCCCCATGTTGGGCACCAGATGTAACGTGCCGCTCATCTTCTTTGGGTGAAAAGAGAGAAAAACAGACAACACAGACAGACAGTGGCTGCAACCCCGATGTGGAGCAGCACCTTTATTTTTATACTGCCTTTCTCAGACCCCAGCGAAGTGCTATACTCATCTTTCCCTTCTCCGAGGGGCAGGCCAGAGCACCTTGTTGATTTTCTTAGAAGCTGCCTGGTAAGCAGGGGCAGTGTTTTCACACATCCTCAAGGTCTCCCTATTTTCAGAGTGAGGAGTCTTGGCTCATCTTCCAGGACAAGATATGTTTTTGTGGGCAGATAAGTTCCAAGGACTGCACCAGTTGTTCTCAAGTTTGTGCTTTCCCATGCTGCGTTCAGACCTGGGGGAAGGTGCTTTCTGCCTACAAACATGTGAGAAGACAAAGGTCATCCCCAACACAGGTTGGTAGCCACAGAGTCAAGCTCCGATAGACAGCCCAGCTGTCAGTGCAGACAACTATAGGAGAGGGCTACTTCTGGCTAATCACAAGCCACACAGCCCGCAACACTGCCCATTGGCTGCTCTTCCCCTCACCATCTTCCATCCATATTATCTCAGTCTTAGGATGGAAAGCTATGGCCCTCCATTTTGGGGCCTGCCCACAGCTAGAGCCATCTGTGTACCATGCATCTTTGGGTATAGGGGCTCTTCCCTCCCGATAGGGACTCTCTGCTACTAATGGTTCAAAAGCAAGTTCTTCCTGCTTTTCACTAGTATATGTCACTGGCCCCAACAAGCATTGGAGTTCTTCACTCAACTGGCTACTAGAGAGAGCACTACGCTGCTGTAGGTAAGCACCCCACTTGGCTAGTGTGGGTGTTTGTGCCACACCACTCCTTGGCTTTTGGGTCCAGTCTCGTACCCACCCCAAGATGGTATAGGTGGTTATTACCTTTATTGGGGCCATTCCAGTGATGGGTTCTATAGCCAGCAAGGCATGATACACAGCAGCCAGTTGTTTTTCTATCAAAGTGTATGGTACCTCTGACCCCTTCCAGAGTTGTGTGCAGAATCCAAGAGGTTGGCAAGTTCGTTCAAGCCGCTGCCAGAGACCCGAGCGATAACCGTCTTCAGTGACATGAGCATCCAGCTCACAGGGCCTTGATGGGTCCATCACACTCAAGGCCTGCATGGTCTTGACTGCCCATTTTGCTGTAGTAAAGGCAGATGCATATGTCTCATCCCATTCCTACCTGATGCCCTTTCATACCAACTGGTATAAGGGCTTCAGAATTTGCACCAAGTGCAGTATAAACACTCTCCAGTAGCCTAGAAGACCCAGAAGCTCCTGTAGCAATGCTACAGTTGTTGGGGTAGGAAAGTCCTGGACTTTGTCTATAACTGCTTCTGGTATAACTTTGGTCTTACCTGACCAGATGACCACCAAGAATTTGTCAGACAAACCAGGTCCCTGAAGCTCGGTGCTGTTCATAGCCCATCCTTTCTCCTGTAGATGTTGCAGCAGTCTGGTGCTGCACCTTCTAGATCTGAAAGAGAATCGGACGTGAGCACTGACATCATCAGTATAATGGTACAGCCGCACCATTGGTGGTTTCTGCCATGTAGCCAAGTCCTGGGCTACAAGTCCATGACAGATGGTGGGGCTGTGGAGGTATCCCTGTGGAAGGACAGTGAAAGTCCATTGCCATCCTTCCCACATGAAGGCAAACTGTTCCTGACTTTCCTGCTAATGTCAGTGGAAAAGAAGGCATTAGCAAGATCTACCACATAATGGTATGTTCCTAGTTCATGGCTGAGGGTATTCATCAAGCCTGCAATAGAGGGGACAGCAGCATGCATAGGGGGTATGACCTTATTCAATTCTCTGTAATCCAGTCATATGCCAGGAACCATCTGGCTTTTTTCAAGGCCACACTGGGGAATTGAAAGCACTGTGCGTGGGCTTTATAATACCCACCTTTTCCAGCTCCTGGAGAGTTTCTCCAATCTCTTTATGCCCTCCAGGCAGTTTGTATTGTTTGGTATTAGCTACCCGCTGAGGCACAGGCAAAGCTATGGGCGGGTGCCTAGCATGTCCCCTCAGAACTGCCTTTACCACATGTACTCTCAGTCTGAATTCACCTGCAGTGTTCTGCAACCATAGACCCTGCAGGATATCAATCCCCAAAATATACTCAGGAATAGGAGGTATATACACAGTATACTATTTTGGGGGTAGATGCCCTATTCCCAAAGGGATTTGGGCTTTTTTCACCCTGATAGCCTTCCCTCCATATCCATCTATGATAGTAGGGGTCCCAGGGAACCACTCAGGGTTACCATGAATCAATGAACATTCAGCCCCTGTGCCCACCAGAGCCAGGACACACTGTATGTTCACTGGGGACCAATGGATAACTATTTCAACATGTGGCCTCCAGTCCCCCTGGTCCCTCAGGGCAGATACCTTGACTTTCCCCTCAGTCAAACTGTGTTCCCCAATCACCTTCCTGTGTGGGCTCGAGTGAGGTTGGCTCACTCTCCAGCAGGAAGTCTTGCAAACACACAGGCTGGACTCGTGGCTCTGTCTCTGACATTTGCCTCTTTGGTCTTAATGGCTGGAACTGCTGCTCTGGTTTCAGCTGTTGCCATAGCTCTAGTAAGATCCTATTTGACTTCCCATCTAATTTCCTTCTATCTTCTCCTGCCCATATTAAATCAACTCACATCTGGGTCCTTGTAACCTTCATGGGGCCCTGTAAATTCTTCTTGTGAGTAACAGGTCTTATTTCTTTCCAGATTCTCATTGCTTCAGCCACTCCTAAGTCTGCTACTGTACATGTCACCTCGCTTATGGGATGCCCTAAGTGAGGGGAAAGAAATGGCCACTAGAGACCCAAAGAGGGATGTAGGAGCCATTTGAGGTACAGTATTTCTCATCCCAGTAGTGAAAATCTCTTCATCTGAGTTATAATTCTCTGAACTATAGATGGCATTCTTATGCCTAGCTCTCATAGCACCTGTTGGAGTTCAGCATATGTCTGCCATCTAACAGGAGAGGATGGCAGATCACCCGGATTGGGCCACACAGCATGAAGTACAGCCATAAGCCAATCTAGGAGGAAGTGACTCCCTGGCGTCTAATGTGCATTTTGTAATTGCTGCCTCAGGGAAGCCAGCTTTCCCATCTCTGATTCCAACAGAACAATCCCATCCACCCCTAAGTCCCACAGGTGCAGGAGCCAAGCTGATATTGACTCTGAGGGCTTCTGCCTAAACCAGGAGCCCAAATCCACCAGCTCAGCCTGAGGATAGGGGCAGAGCATAGAGTGCTCCATGACCTGGGGAAGGGGCTGCTCCTCTCCTGGGGGACTATCAGCTGCTGGGTCTTTATTTTCTTTACAACCACTGGATGTGCTTTCAATACAGGAGGCGCCACTGCCTCTGGCACCACCCCTTCATCCTTCCCCAGCTCCTCCATTTCCGGGGCTGATGACACCTTTTTCTCCCCTCCCCCAAGTGCCTCCTCTGCAACAGCCTTTACCTTTTCTACAGTGCCTCGCAGCAATGCTATCTCTGTCTTCAGAAGCTCTCTTACTTTCAGCTCAATGCTTTGCAGCTGATGTTCTCATGCCACCTCCGCCTGTGCTTCCCTCAGGCGGAGGGAGTTCGTCCTTTTCCTTGATGGCCTCTTCCTCCTTCAGAACACCTGACAGTGCTGCCATCTCATCTCCAATGGCACCTTGCTGCTGATGTTCTTGTGCTCCCTCCTCAGGGAATCCACAGAGGTTTGGAGCTCATGTTCTCGTGCCTCCTCTTGCAACAATGCCACTTCCCTCCTCAGGGCATCCACAAAAGTCTGCAGCTCGCGTTCTCCCACCACCCTTGGGTCTCCTCTGTAGACCTTTCTAAGACTGTGAGAAGCAGCCAACCTGCAGCCCCACTGCTTCCCGGGCACTCTGCTTCTCAAAGGATCCACTCACTCTACCAGGAGCCACCCCTACTGCCTCAGGTGTCACCTCCACTTGCCTCCAGTCCTGGGGTGGGGCCCAGTCCTCTAGGAGGCAAGCCACCTCAGACCACATACCCATTGGGGGATGATCCACTGTCTCCCCATTCATAGGGGCAGCCCACTGAAGTACCCCTCCCATAAGGGCACCCTGTCTTTTCCCTTGGTCAACAGTGAACCCTGGCGACTTTCGCCAATTGTCTTGCAATGGGTTTCAGCCCCAGGCAAGTTAGCTATGGATTCAGTGTGACCAAAGAAACTGGTAGCAAAGCGTTCTTTGGGGTGAAAGGGTCTACCAGATTTGTTCTCCAGCAGTAGGTCGAGCAGTAGTATCTCTACCTCCGCCCAGAGCACTGGGCTGAGCTCTCTATATAACGCAATAATAGCTTATTACCTACAGGTGTGGAAGCAGTAGCCTAGCAACAGGCCAGTTACATCATCAGGTGGTTTCAGTTCAGTGAGGATCCTGGCCATAGGAACCCCAACTCCCCCACAGCTATTTTTTTGATTGAGTCACTATATAAAGAGCTTGCCCAGTGCTCTGGGTGGGGGCAGAGATGATGGAGGATTACAGATCTGCAGACTGTTGAATGCAGATGTAACTCTAGTGCTCGACCTACCACCACGAGAAAAAGCGGGGTAATAAACCCTTTCACCCCAAGAACATTCTGCTGTCATTTCTTTGGTCACATTGAATCCATAGTGACCTTGCCCAGTGCTGAAACCCATTGGCAAGACACCTGGGGAGGCAGGAAGGGAGCTGAGACACTCCACAAGCCACCCTCAGCCTGTCTGCCTGCCGCAGCCACCTTCCCTATGACTGGGCACTTGCAGCAGATCAGAATCCAGGGGCCATAGGGTAACAGTCCGAGTTTGGTGTTTGCAAAGAGCTCCTAAAATCCGTGGAATTGCCTGAGTCATGGCAGCATCCATGACTGTTCATGATGACCCCATTTTTGAATTGGGTTGGCTGCTTTGTTGTTGTTGAATTTTACTTCTTTCCATGTTCTGGATATCATCCAGATTATTAACCTATAATCCAATAATCATATAATTATTAACCTATCATCCAAAATACGATCTGTGACTGTTTCTTCTATTTGGTGAATTGCTTCTCACTCGCCTAACAGTGCCCTTTGCTGCACAGGAGTGTTTAATTTCCGTGAGATCCACCTACTCTGTTCTCTCGTGTGGTGCCTCTGTCAGCTGCACCCACAGCTGGGCTGGAGCTGTGGACCATCTGCAGCCTCAGAGACCACACTGCTGGACTGGGTAGAGGTCCTAATTCCCACCAGGCAGCCTCCTCTGTTGGGTGCCTTGTAAACGATCCTTCTGCTACTCCTATTTTCAGGGTGGATATAGTGAGAAATGGAAATTTTAAATAAGAGCGGAAATCACCCACAATTCTACCACGCCTGAATTAAATGAGATAAAACTGTTCATTTTCTGTGCTGCCTTCAGGTGTGGGACATGCAGAGAGTAGCATGCAGCTATCATGGGCCTCACCTGAGCTGCAGGGCTCGCCCTGTACAGAGTTTTTCCAGTCCTAGTGTTACTTTCCTTTCCATTATTGGCTCTGGCTGAGTCCGGCCCACCTGCACATTTTAGGATAGTGCTTTATTCTGGCCAGCCTACCTGGGAGGGGGTTGCTGAGGAGCCTGATGGGCTGCCATCACCTGCCCACCACAACAGGGAGCCTGCTGGTGTGTCTTCATCTCTCTCAACAGCTCGCCCCTCCAGGAGTAACTGCAGTCCGCAGCCACCCCCAGCACACATCTCTTAGACCATCACCATGCAGAGTAGAGCCCCCCAGAGTAGGGGCAAACCCAAGAGCACTGCTCCCAGGACCAAGGTGGGCATGGCAGGGGCAGGCTCTGCTGGCAGGGTAATGATGAAGGGGGCTCTCTGGTAGCAGGTGTCAGGGTGCAGTCTGCTCCAAGATTGCCCCCCACCTGGCCAAGGACCCCAGTGGCACAGGAGGGAGGCCAGCCCTGCCTCCATGGGAGTGTCCCGGAGGCCACTGCCAAGCATGGTCACACTCCAGGCCACCTGGGCCTGACTCCAAGGCTCCTGCCTCTATGGTCCTGCCTCTTCCCAGGGTCCCTGATGGAAGCCTCTTGGGATGTGGGCCAGGGCTCACTCGTGACCAGCCGTCTCAGCAGGAAGGAGCAAGGACCTGCCTGGGAACTTCGGAGCTACTGGCTGCATGAAGCCAAGGTGAGTTTGGCAAGGTGTGGGCAGGGGAGCCCCGTACCCACCACTGATGAAAACCAAGGCCAGTGGGAGGTTGCCAAGCAGATGGTGCAGTCCCTGCCCCAGATGGGCTTGGAACTGCATAAGCTCCCAGCATGGGCCCAGTGTCCCCAAATCCACACATAGAAGCCCTACACCTCAGGACCCCAGAGAATGATTATTTGGACAGGGAGTCTTTAAAGAAGTGAATAAGGTAAAATGAGGTTATAGGGTGGCCCTAATCCCATGTGACTGGTGTTCTCATAAGGAGATGAGAACACAGACGCACAGAGGGATGGCCATGTGAGGAGACAGTGTCTACACGCCCAGGAGCCTCAGGAAGACCCGCCCTGCCACACTGTGACCTCAGACGTCCAGGCCCAGGACCAGAAGGGATCAGAGTCTGTGGTTTGAGGTGCCAGGCTGTGCTGTTTGTCACACCAGCCCCCATCAGGCCTACAGCCTCCCCTTCCCCAGGTGCATGCGTGTACTCATCTTTTCCTTTCCCTCCTTTGCAGCATGTGATGGCCACACAGCCCATCTGCACCACAGTTGGGGGCTGCAGAGACACTCCCCACACCTCCACCCAAATGCCCCAGCACCCCTGTGAGCAGCAGCCCCTTTCTCTGGCCATGTGCACCCTGGCCACTACCCCCAGGAGTCGTTGGGGGCCCTGGCCAGTCCTAAACCACATGTGACATGGCTAACCAAGCCCAGTGCATGGACACCCTGCCCCCGTCCCCCACAGAGACAGGGGAGGAGGTGACTGGTGCTCCATCTGGGAGAATAAGAGGAGTGGTGGGGGCAGGAGTGGGAGGCCGCCCCTCAGGCAGGGGACTCAGACTGTCCTGCCCGCATTTCAATCTCTCTGTAAGCTTTCCTACATGAAGTTAGTAGATTCTGACCTCTTAAAATCTGTATTTAGAGGAAAACAATAAATCTAAAGTTGCAGGACTCGGATATCTACTGTGTGTGCCACGGACATGCCAGAAATCAGGTGCTCAAGGGCTGCCTGTGACCCAGTGCCCCAGGCCTAAGGTTCATGGAGTGAAAATAAGTCCCATATGAACACTGCCCGTGACAAACACAGAACTGGAAACAACCTAAATTTCCAATTACTGAGCACTTCTATAAATTATGTCAGCTCATTTAAATTGGGAATCAAAAATAACATAAGAATATGGTGACATTTGTGCAATGATGTAAAGTGAGGGAAAACAGATCAACTGTTGTTTTTGATCAACTGGATACAATACACACTGATTACAACGTGAAAAATGGGTGTGCATGTTGACAGACAGTAGGACAAAACCAGAAAAACACAAATAGGGGAAATCAATTGGTACACTGGGCAGCAGGATGATGTGTGAAATCTTTTCCATTTTAAATTTCCTTTAGTAGCTTAGCAAGGTTTGAATAATGATACTTTAACAATATTTGTATCTCCTCAACTGAAACTTGCATTAAAGGAGAAGCAGCTAGGCTGGAGGACAGGAGGATGGTATCTGGCTGCTCATTCTACTGGGCAGGCAGGAAAATACCAATTGATCAGAAAGAGTAAAGCATAGCCCCTGCCTGGACCTCAAGTTTACCCTTCTGTACTCTGTAGACAGAGGGTGGCCAAGCTTCCAACGGTGGGACAGCTGGGGCTGGGGCTGGTGTCAGCCACATGGAGTCTGAGATGGGGAAGGATGGCCAGCTACAGCCACCCACATACAAAGCCAGTGAGGGAACTAATGGTGACAGAAAAGCCAGGGCTGGTGCCAAGGCGATGGCCCACTGCACAGCAGGAAGAGCTCCGACAGCCCATCAATGATCAAGGGCAAGATGTGAGAGCCACTGGGACCCTCAGGGCATGGCAGTGGGAGGTGACAGGGCAGGAGCGCATGGTACAGGGACAGCAGGAACTGAGGGAGTGAAAACCCAGGGTGCCAGAAGCCAGGAAGGGCCCACGAACTGTCAGGATGGTGCCCCACGGGAGGGGCGGCAGAGCAAGTGGCTGCAGGCAGCATCACCATGGCTGGGCTCACCGCAGACTAATCAAATTGGAGCGTGCCAGCTCCTCATGCCATCAGGGCTGAAAGCTCAGTCTGCCAGAGCTCATCCTGCACCGCCCAGAATATATTGGTGAGTAACACTTCAGGCTGTGGGCAAGAATGCCCTGAAGAGAGAAAGACAAGCCGCACACAGAGAGGATGCCACCGCCAACCAACTGCACCAGGAAGACACACAGCTCCCAGCCCCAAAGGAGTACAGACAAAAGTCACATGAGGCCTCTCACCCACAGTGCAACATGGACAACCCAGAGCATGCAGAGATGCTGGCCTCCCCATCCATCAGGGAAACATGAACCATGGCAGTGAAGGGGAAGTGCTTTTTTCATCCATTCCATGTCAAAAATTCAGAATCCACTGATACCAAGGGCTGGAGAGGGTGTGGCCCAGAGGCCTCTCAAATGTGGCTGAGGCAGCAAAGCCAGAAATGACCTTGGAAAACTGGCTTCTCCTTACACACGGGACCTTCACAGCACAGCTCAGGAAACCATTCCTGCGTGTACACCTAAGACAAAGCCCCAGACATCTACCCCAGAAAACAAGTTACAAAAAACCCCTAGCATGTTTGCAACAGCAGCCACGACCCTTATACACATGGGCAGAAAGTGGAATGGAGGTGGCATTTTTCCATGGTGGAATATTATACAGCACTGAACACAAATTAACTCCAGCTAAACAAACAAACAAACAAATCTGTGAAACTTCATAACATAATGTGGAGTGAAAAAAATCCAGGAGACTGCTTATGAGATGGCTAATTTTATGCATGAGCTTGGCCAGGCCATGGTACATATGTGGTCAAACAGCAGGCTACTGTCATTGTGAAGGCATTGTTTAGATGAGATTAACACTTAAATCAGTGGACTGTCAGTAAAGCACATTACCCTCTATAGTGTGGGTGGGCCTTGTCCAATCAGCTGGATGCTGTAAGAAAAAAAAGACTGAGGTTTCCCAAGAAAGAGGCAATCCTGCCTCCAGACCCCAGCTGCAACATCAGCCCTTCCCTAGATCTCCAGCCTGCAGTGCACCCGGAAGACTTGGGACTTGCCTGACTCCACAGTAGCATGAGCCAATTCCTTAGAATCAATCTCTCTCTCTCCCTGTGTGCGTGCGTGCGTGCGTGCGTGTGTGTGTGTGTGTGTGTGTGTATGCTATTGCTTCTGTTTCTCTTGAGAACTACAACTAATACAACTTACAATTCCTTTTATAAAGTTTAAAAAATTAAGCAATACTTTTAATAATAATGGGCTTTCAGTCCTCTCTAAGGTGTGTGGGAGGAACACCTACAGTAGATTTAAGTTATTGTGGTTTTCTAGTTCTTGAGTTGGCTGATAATATTGTAATAACACATCTTGAATTATTATGAATGAATGTATGGATGGATGGATGGATGGATGGAAGGGAGCCACAGTGCATGGCTAATAAGAACATGTGATAAACCAAATATTTTGATCTACTTCTGCACATAAAATAAAAACTTAAGTGTTACATATTAGTACACCTAAAACTAGTATGTCAACTATTCTTCAATAAAAATAAATAAAAATGGTTCAAAATAAATTGTCATCCCTCATGTCCTGTCATATCCTTTCCATAGGGATATATAGCATGATCTTAGTTTTGTAATATGGATATATGTAAACACACACATGTGTAAATCTGCATAGGAACAACTCAGAAGGACAAAACACTGGTATCTCCCAGTGGCATGTGGCATTCTGAGTCACTTGCATTGTCTTATTTTTGCTTTTTTGTATCTACCTAAATTTTCTACAATAAAAATGTTTTAACACATTTTTTAATAAGAAAAATCTAGTGACCTCACCAGGATGCCCAGCTGTACCTCAACTATAATTGTCTAAAGTGAGCTGTGTTTTCATGCTTTACTGAATGGCTTGAAAGATACGGAAAGTCGAGGATGGCTTATTTCTAATCTGCTTAATTCTCCTAAGTGTCGGCTGAGCGTTCTGGAAAAAAAGACACAAAGATGAGATAATCCTGCTCTCAGTGCATTTGCAGGCAAGCAGGAAGATGAGCCATGGGGAGCAGTGACCCAAGGGTGGGCACGTAGGAGCTGTGGTTATAGGTGTTTCAACCAGCAGATGTGCGCGGGGCCCCCAAAAACCTTCACAGATCTAAGCAGGCAAAGGGCAGCCTCAGAGAATGGTATGCTGAGCAGGGCTGTGGCAATGAAAGGGGTACTACGGGACAGGAGGCCTGGCAAGACTTATTTCAGATTACTTTTATTTATTTTTTATTGAAATATAGTTGACATAATATTATGCTGGTTTCAGGTGCATGACTTAGTGATTCAATATTTACATACAAACATAACAAACCAGAAGTGCTCAAATACAGAGAACAAACTGGTGGCTATTCTGGACAATTTTTAAAACACTTGACAACTTGAATGGATTTTTTTTTTTTTGCCAAACTTTCAGACTTACAGAAAAGTCCCCAGGCCAGCACAGGCCCTCTCTGCAGCTGCTCTGGTCTCCCGTTTGTTTTGTTGCTCTGCATGTGTGCATCTTTTTCTCAATCCTGTGAGAGTAAACTGCAGCCAAGATGCCTTCTTGTGAACACTCCAATCGTTATTTCCTAAAACAATGATACTCTGTTACGTAAGCACAGCTCACTTCTCAAAATCAGCACATTAGCTTACCATGCTATCACTGATTTGCAGACCTTATCAGATTTCACCAGTAATGTTCTTCATGGCAAAGAAATAGTGCACTATGTTCACATCGCCATTCTCCTCTGATCTGAAGCAGCTCTGCAGCCTTTGTCTCTCGCAGCATTGACATTTCTGTGGTTACAGTGCCCCCCTTATCTACAGGGATGCATTCAAAGACCCCCCACCCCCCGTGGCTGCCTGAACAAGGGTAGTCCTGGACTCTACACAGGGCTTTCTCCTGTACATATATGCTGCTGATAAAGTCAAACTTATAATTTAGACACAGTGAGAGATCAGCAGCAATAACTAAACTAGAACAGTCCCAGCCATGCGCTGGGGAGGAGCTGCCCTCTTCTCCCCACTGCTCCGCTCACACCCTCCTGGTGAGGACACATGGTGGCCAGCAAGGTGGCATTGGGCACGGGGCCCACTCCTACCTGGCCATGCAGAAGGTGGGGGGACTCAGTTTTCAGCCTGTGGGTCTGCAGACTGTCCATCCATGTGGCTCATCTCTGCCACTGAACCCCATCAGCCCCACATTCCTGGGAGGAGGCTGTGGAGGCCAGCTTGTCCCGCCGCTGGTGACATTAGCTTAATGTCACGTGGTTAAGGCAGTGGCTGCTAAGTTTCTCCGTGAAGACTCACTACTTTTCCCTTTATAAAGAAAAGAACAACTTAAGGAGATTCTTTGAGAAGTGGTAAACATTCCCTTTTCTCAGCATGCTTTCACCCACTGGTTTCACCATTGGATGACTATTGCCTGAATAAACCATTGCTAACTGCTAAATGATATTTTCCAAATTCCATCATTCGTTGTTTATTCCTTGGCTTCCACTGTGGGAAGAGCATTTCTTTCTCTCATTTATTCACTTATATCAGCAGGTATACACAGACTGTTACTTTGCTCAGTGGCTTATCATTTGTTGCTACCATTATTTATTTGATGCATAAATTATTCCAGAGCTGGCCAGCAGAAGTGTCCTTCTGACCTGTCCCCTTCATTTCTTGAGCACTTTCTGACATGCACACTCCAGGCTTGGCTGTGCTTCCTCTCCTCCAGCCCTGGAATCAGTTTCTCCAGGAGCTCTGGCTCCTTTCAGTGGAAAATGGTATTAAGAAGCCAAGATCTGGGTGTGCTCATTGCTACTGGGGTGTCACTGCTTCTAGGAAATTATCTATAAATACACACGCCCATACCTAAGTGTTTGCATGTATTTTTCCACATCCATGTGTGCACATTGCATGTCCACACCCATCTGAATATGCATATGTGCACTCCTGTGTGTACATATCTACCTATGTGTACACACCCATCTGTGTGCACATCCTGTGTCCATATCCATGTGTGTGCATTCCCATCTGTGTGTATATGCACTTGTTTGTCCATGCCCACCTATGTATCCATGACCATCTGTGTGTATACACATCTGCCTGTGTAGAACCCAGACCACATGCTGATGTCTCTGATTCTAACCCCATCCCAGAGGGTTTGCTTTAATCCCATCCATGTCCACGCAAACATTTCTTTAAAACAGTGTCATGCAGGCTGCCCCAGAAACCTGTGTCCCTGGTTACATGGCCTTGCTGTGTGCTCAGTGTTGACTGGGGCCTCACCGCCTGTGGAGTACAGGAGGGCTGCGCTGGGGCCAGACCACCTTTTGGAAGGTACAGGGCAGGCAGAAAGAGTGCCCAGGAAGTGCTGAGGGGAGGGACACTGGGGTTTTCTGTATTAAAGAAGCCAGATGTGCAGTCAGCTGCATGGAAGGGCCACAGTTCCCCGGGGTGCCTGCAGAGGGCACACCTGTTCCTACAGCAGCTGGGGGTGGCCCTGACAGGGGCTTTGTGGGCACAGCTGGCTGTGCAAGCCATGGGAGCACTGGGAGAAGCCTCTCACTGCCCCAGGGCAGGCTGCACCCCTGCTGTGTGGGGCTCAGCGAGGCATGCAGACTGTTTGATCATAAAAGGCTGACAGTTTTCAGAATGTTCTATTTCTAGGGATCTAGTTTCTTCTAAGGTTGCTATATTGTGATTTCAACTCTCTTGTCCAACAAACACACTTCCCAAAGAAAAAGCCTGCCCTTCCAGCTCAGCACCAGGCTTTACAGAACATGAAGCCTCTGGGCATCCACACACACCCATGGACAATGCCCCCTGACCACTGGCCGGCACATTCCTCAGCTGGGAAGCAGAGTTAGGCAACTCACTGCAAAGCACTGGCCTGGAATGTTCCAAAGAACAAAGACATGACACAGGGTTCCCATGGGAGAGTTGGTGAGTGTGGGACAGAGGGGATAGGGGTGCATGGAGCAGTCTGCAGCCTTGGGAGGGCCTGAGAGCTGGATTTTTAAGGCCAAGAAGGGCTACAAGTTGTGGAGGGCCAGAGCTGATGGGCAGGCCCCAAGGCTGGGAAACTGCCCCTGAGCCCAACACCCACACAGGGGTTGAGTTGCTACCTCACGTTAGACAAAGATGCCCAGAATACACAGCAGGTGCAGGCCTTCTGCCCACCTGGATGAGGCAATCTCTTTAGATATGCAAGAACACACTTGCTTCCAGCCACATGAATCCAGGAAAATGTCACTGCAGGCTTCAACGCATGCAGGTCTGCACCAGTGCCCACAGGCAGCACCCTCGACACCAGCTTCTGCTAAGCCATCTTGCCCTCTGCCCTCCCATCCAGCCACATACAGCAAGAGCTCGTGGATGCTTTGCAGATTTGGTCACAAACGCACTTTGACGCCCCCCACCAGGCTCTCCACCACTCCCAGCCCTGCTGACTCTGGAACCTTCTCCCACCTCCCCTTCCTGATCTGGGTGTAGGCAGCAGGTCAAGAAGGGCCTCCAAAACCAAAGTAGGGGACAGTCTACAAAAAAACTGGTCTTCACCCCTTAGATATGCAGACAGTGGCAAAGTCACAGAGGGCAAACAGCTCTGGGTTGAAGAGGAAGGGTGCAGGCCCCCCAACACAACGCCGTCTTTTGTTGTTGCAAAGGACAAAATTAGGCAACTTGGCAAAATCTGAATCAAGTCTGTCAATTAAATAGTAGTATCCCATCTGTGTGTTAATTTCTTGATTTTGATCACTGAGTTCTGGTTAGGCAAGAGATTGGCCTGGTTTTAGGAAAATGGTGCTGAAGGGTAAAGGGGCATCATGTTTGCAACCTGCCCACAAATGCTTCAGGAGGAATTAAGCACAGAGAAGCAGCATATGCAAGTATTGACAGTCGGGTGTCTAGGTCAAGAGTTAT